ATAACCAAGACAAAAAGACTCTTCCCAACCATATCCAATCTATTTCTTTGCCAAATGTGGTGGCGTTTTTGTCTTTTGACGCTGCTGCATGAATGGCAAGAGAGATGGGGAAGGCATTTTGTACATTCATAAAATCCCAGAAAATGATAGGCAGCCAATATCCAAAAAAGGAAAATGAAAGGGGAAAAAATTTTTTTGCGACAATGTCAAGTAGTATCGAAAGTCAAAAAATGTGTGTACAAATTAAGTACTCCCTATTATAAGTAAGGTCATCAAGTTCTAATAATAAATATGCACGTGATAATTTGATGATTAATTTTTGACATTGTCAAATTCAGCATTGCAATATTACCCTACAACAATAATAGGGATGTAAACGAGTTTAATCAATTCGAATACCCTAATGTTCAAAATTGTTTGACTTTTTCTTTTTATTGCCAAACTGAGTTCGAACCAATTTTTTATTGGATTAAAAAATTATCCAATATAAAACATTAAAACTTGTTCGATTATTTTTAACTTATTTGAAATTCCAAGACAGTGCGAGGGCCGAGATCTCTCCGTAGATTATATGTTATTATACTTCAAAATTTTCCTCCATTTTTTTTTGTTTTAGCTGGCGATATTTTCCTGCTGGTCAAGAGAAAAATCAAAATGTAAGTCCATCCTTTTCCCTTTTTTTTTTTTTTCTGATGCATTCAAGAAATATTTGTTTTTTATGAGTTTAATTCTATTTTGGTGGCGTTGGTTTTATAATAATCTGCAACAGGTAGATGTTTGAAGAGCCTGAAAAAATGTAAATGGAAAACCCCTATTAGTCGGTTATGACATTCTTGGCTGAAGAACTCCGCGAATTTTCCTTTTTATTTAATTTTTCATTTTATATTTTTTTTTTTTTTTTTGAGTTGCAGTATGGCCCATTTTAGGTTCACTTGATGGTTCTGTTTGCTTTATTCTAGCAGAAATTCTTGAGAATGTATGTTTTAGTTTTTTTGGATTTCCTGGTGGGATTCTGCTCTTTCACATTTTTTTTCTCATGTACAGTACTTTTTATGTTGTGAAGCAGGGAGCCGATGATTGTGCTGTGAATGTCATGTGGGGTTCGGAGAAAGTGGGATGTTAGAGAAGGGTTTATTAATACATAAAGTAGCAGCTTTTTCTTGTCTAGGATAAATTTGGTCAGTATTCTAACTGGTTGAATCCCACTTAGCGTCAGTTATTGGTGAAATATGGTAAAAAGTTTGCTTGTTTAAAGGAAATTGCAGAGGTTTTTCATTGTTTAATGCCAAGTGACTAATAAAGAGCTTGAAATTTTCTTTTTTTTAATGAGTATAATCTCAGCTGCATTATTTGTTCATTTTGGATGGGCGATGTGGGCATTGTTTTAGTTGCATTACTGTGGGAAGTTGAATTTGAGGTAAGAAAAAGGCAGAATTTTGGGAAGGTGATGGTTTAACTGAAAAGATTTCGTCGGTTGACTGATGGGATTTTGAAGTTTTAGATTGTGAAATTGAGAGGGTCTGGAGGCTTATGAGAGGAGAATTGAGAATGTGATGGATCATTTAGATCTAAAAGGAAGTGATTCAGAAATTGATTTGGAGAGTGGGGGCAATGTAACTGATGATGATGGGGGTGAACATCTTGATTTGAGTGGTAGAAATTCAAAGAAAGGATTGCATATGGTGTGGAGTGAGCTTGTGGGACAGGAATCAGCAGATGCATCTGCAAAGGGTGAAAAGAGTGCACATTCACTTGGCAAGTTGTTGAGTTATGATGAAATATTGGTTAAGAATGCGGATAGATGGCCAGAAAAGTTTGAGGAAGAATTTACAAATTTTTCGAAAGAGAAAAGAGCTGTGGAAAAGCCAAAGATGCCGAACTCCAAAAGGCCTCCAAAGCCGCCCCGACCTCCGGGAGGTCCCTCACTGGATTCTGCTGATATGAAGTTGATCAAGGAAATTTCTGAGCTCGCAATCTTGAAACGTAAAAGGACCGAGCGAAGGAAGGCCTTGCAGAAAATGAGAAAGGAGAAGACATATTCAAAAAGCAGTAGTTTGTTTGCCATGGTGGTCACTGCACTCTTTATCTTTGTGATCATTTTCCAAGGTACGCATGTCCAGCGAGCAGACTTTGAACTTTTCATTTTCTTTTCCTTCTGCTAATCTGGCCTGTCTTTTTTATTTAGTATTGAGTGGATATACATTTGCATTCTTTTGGTTCATAATATTCATTGAAGTCACTTAATAGTATTTGATAATGTAACTGTATATCTATATTTGTTTGCTCATGATTCTAGGTTTATGATAGCTTAATGCTGGTTCGCTTTATGACTTCCATTATCATGCTACCTTTTTTTTTCTACCATCTGACATAGGATTTTACTGCTGCAATGTAAAGTTGTGGCCCTCCATTTGATGTCTCCCTTGAAAAATGATTTATTGACTGATTATTCTCTGACCTAAAAGAAAATTATTGACTTGTGAGAATATGTTGAAGAGAATTGACAGAATGACTTTTATTAATTGTCGGACTCTTAATATTTGATAAAAGCATACTGTACTCGAATTTACCATTAAGGTAGCACTGCTGTTTCAGAAACCATGGTAAATCAGACTCACAGTATTTGGTTTTCATTACCTTCACCATCCTGTACCTTGTTCAGAATGAAATGTTTTCTGCAATAAGTATTGGGCATGAGCAAAAGGGACCTCTGCAGCATCAAACGAGGACATTGATCAAATACAACAATTGGAAATCTATGTGGATTTATCATTAGCGCAATTCATCTTCCATGGGAAGACAAAGGCTTTTAAGTAAAAAGATCAAGGAGAATTTTGTATCTTTAGCCTAGGTTTTGATGCAATCAGATGAAAAGCAGAATGCTTATATAGAGGAAACATCTGTTTTCTTGCAAATATTTCTGAAGTTCCACATAGAACATTTCAAAACTCAATTAGGATCAGGTAGTGGCCCATTTATAAGGGATAGTGTCCTGCATATGATGCCCGTCACATGCATTACTGGGTTGACTTCAATCCTGTCTAATTTTATCAAAAGCATTATAGAAGCTCATGTATGTGTGAATGCTTGATATGTGGCTGGGCACAACCAAGAAGGTATTGTGCCTTATCAAAGCTAAGTAGAAAGTATATTAATCTGCTCAAAACATGACAAGCGGGAAGGTTGAAATTATATTGTATTTTTAGTTGGTACAATTATGTTGTCGTAATTTTGGTCTTTCCTTGTTGGGAAAAGGGGGTGCAATAGGTGCTTGTAATGTTGGTTTAATAGTTTTTGTTAATTGTCAATTATGAATCACCATTGGTCTCCTTAATATTAAGCTTCTGATAAGAGCTTGATCTGAAGCATAGCTTGCTCGACAATGATTTGCTGGACTATCAGAGAGCACCTTCTTTTTAGAGGCTTTCAACAAGTCACTCTGTAGTCTTAGGCTTAGCTTGGCCAATAAAGTTTGAGGTCATTTATGTGCTTATGCATCATAAGAAGATAAGAACCGATGATCTTTTCTTCAGGAGCCCCCTAGTTGTTTTTCTTTTGTTCATCTATAATGCTTCTGTACAAAGTAAGTAAAATGAAAACTAAACTTTATCATCAACTTTCAGGTCTCCTAGGATCACGCATCTGACATGTATTGCGTCGCCAATATTCCAAGTATACTTCTATACAACTTATTTCCAATCCTCTTATTCATGAATGTAATACGTATTGCCTTTGATGTGATGTTGCTGAAGCAGATTTATCCTGTTACGAAATACACAATGCCACCTGCTGTCTGATTTTTTAGTTACTCTAAGTCAGCAAGTATTGGAAACTTAAAGCATGAATTTATGTATCTATATCTGTAGAAACTTCAAAACAGGTGGGCTTTGAGATTTATTTGAAATCTAGTTACATTAGATATCAATTATCAAGCATTGGCAAGGGACATGCAGATTTAAAATTTATAGAGCTTTTTTAGCCTTTTGATAGGGCCCTTATTGAGTTATTCTTGTCTTCTGATTTTGCCAGGTTCAGGAATAGCTATGAGGAAGTAGAGAGGATGGGATGAGCAAGTGCTGTTTTTGTATAGTAGTAGATGAACTCAGTACATGTTGAATTTTGAGGTGCAGCACTGGGATCAGGAAATATTACTTTTTGCTGACTATAGATAATTGTGTTAGAAACTGTTGCTGACGGTATGCTTGAGTTGTACAATCCGTTTAACGTAGGAAAGGAGTTCCAGGATGCAGTTGTTGGGTTCTTCCTGGATTTTGGAGCCTCGTTTTGACACAGGAAAGGGTTTACACGTTCTCAGACTTGTAGGTAGAAGCAGCCGGGAAGAGGAGCATTCTGGCAAGAACTTCCTAAGAGTTTGCATTTGTAGTCTTGACAATCGCTGGAATGAGAAAAGTGGCAACGATAAAACCTACCATTTGTCAACTCTGATGAAAGTCCTAATGTTACTCATTTTCTTTATCCGTATCTGCATCTCTACCCCCCTCTCTCTCTCTCTAAGTCGGTCTGTATGCTTGTGTTTTTGGCAGCTCGATTGAGTTGGAATTATATCATGACCAGAAAGAAAAGAAGGATCGGACGCGCTGCAAATAGAGAGATTAATCACAACCTATGGTGATGGAGGGATATGAAGCCCTGGAAAGTAGCAGTAGGTCCATCAATTTTCTAAGAGAATAAAAAAATGTGTGTGCCAATTCATTCTGCATGGACAGCAGGCTTAGAAAACACTGGAGTAGCAGATGTCATCAAGAGCCCCTTTTAACAAAGCAAACAGATATGGGAACCATGAAAACTGTGAATCTTGCAACCCCTAAAAGCAACTCAAGGAACGCGTAGACACTTATCTTCTTTTTTAAGCAGAAGGCTTCAGCTGCTAGCTGCTAAATGTTTCCATAAGGTCTGACCATTCTAGTACTTCGTTACATTTTATAACCAAAATGTCAATGTGCCCTTGTGAACTTGAATTGGGTAAAGAAACGCGAGAGTAGTAGCAACAATAAAGGCAATAAAAAGCCTATTGGCAAGCCGATTTTGTACAGTGATGCTTTAGGTTTATAAATAAAGAACACAAGTTACTGCTTAGCAGCTAGCCAGCTATTCAATAGGGAATGCAATCAGAAATCAAGCATCACAAACGCCTAACTGCTGCCTAGAGACTTCGACAGGATTCCAAAACACAAAATACAGATTTTTGTGTGTTCTACAAGAAATTAAGCAAGTTGCATAAAAGAACAGCTATTCCAGAAGTCACTTAGACTTTGCTGGCTGAGCTCTAGGTCTCCAAAGTCCCAGCCTATACTTGTGGGCATAGTTGAATATCAGCTTCCTCTGCATTTGAAAAAATCCCGGCAGTAATTAGTCATTTTTTGCACAAGTTATCAATGTAATGACCAGACAAAGATGGTGCTACTAAACTGTATGACTTTTTAGTATTATTATCAAACATGACTTGATCTGATCAGCTATAATCATCATAACTTAAAACTCACATTTCAGAAAACTACCAAATTTCCGGCCAAAAGAAAAATCAGGACAATACCTTGCAGAATAGAAGATATAACTCCAAAAAACACGATTCCAAGCCATAAAATAACACAACCAACTCCCAAGTAGAGAACAGGACAAATATAATAAGAAAAAATAAACAGCATTAATGAGTTCATCAAAAACATTAAGTGGATTTGTAAAACCTCCCATTAACCTCTGCTAATAAAAATTCATGAATGTCAAAGGAAGCTGGCTGAGGAGGGAAATGAGTGAGGGGAAAGGGTGTGGCTAGCTTATGACGGCAGGTCAAATCCAATCAACAAGAAGAGTTTATTCAGGGCAATCCATTTTTAGCAAAATGTAGCTGCCATATTAGCAGCAAAAATGAGTTCAACTGCCTCAACAGTGTTTTTTCCCTCTCAAACTGTCAAGAAAGAAGCAAAACCGCTTTCAAGTAAATACTCAGTTTTCAAGGTTTAAGATAAGCCACCAAAGGAGAATCAAGTATGCCAGATAGGGGACCAATAGAGATGCATTTCAGTTAATATACAAATCAGAAAAATGAAAGCCAAGAGATGTTTCTTCAAGGCAAACATCTCATCTGGATACACTATGTGGCAGGTCATTCCTAGCCATTCTTGGAACCTAAAGGAGAAAGGTTCAGTGATTTATCTGCAGTTCTTTTAGCATATGGTTTTCCCGCTTTTCAGTTACCCCATTTGAGACTCAAGTTGATGGGATTCTAATGCTCTAAAGGAGACAGTTAAACAGAAATCCAAACTAATCCTAGTGAAAATTACCAAGACACTAACTAGGACCATAGATTCAGCTAACAGCAAAGAATCATTTGAGACGTGTAATTGTATGACCATTTTTAACAAGCAAAATCTAATACCTCTGAACATTAACTTCATAGGCCACAGCATAGTGACCAACAGGCTGTTACAACAAGTGCTAGTATCTTCTCTCCCCCTTGTTTTGGGAGTGTGTGTGTTACAACTCTGAAAAACGAGGACAAAAGGCATATTTTCATCATCTTTTTCTCATTCAAGAGACATTTTGAAAATCAATTCCTGAAATGGGAAGTAGTTGTTTGCAGTAGTCTCCAAAACAAACTCAAGCCATGGATTTACTCTTAGGGAACTAGATCAATCCAGCAATCAAAGGAAAAACACACAAATCAAAGCTCTCAAGACCTTGGAACGTTATATTCCATCTCTTCAGACAAAACGAAGAGGATTCAAAAAGAAGAAGAAGAAGAAGAGTATATGAAAGAATGATCATGCCAGAACTTCCAAAGTCACAATTAAATGACAACATGCAAAGGGGCCTACCACAATCTCTTCTGAGGGATCAGTAACAAACTTTCAAAAGCTTCCCAGGTAATGAGAGGGATTTTCAAGACTCATGTGATACCCTTATCAAGCTCAGGATGGAAAAATGTGTATATATATGTTATGGGGTCAAGGCCATTCTAATGTTTGTCTGGAAAACAAGATTAATTAGCGAGAAGAAGAACAAGCTGATCCATCAATGATAGTCTGACTGAGTAGAATTCAAGAATGTCTATGCTAGAAGAGCAAGCAAGGGACAAATGTAAAGTAATTAGTTCTGGATGTATCAACAGCATGGATAAATGTTTCTTAACAGAGACAAGCCCTTGATACTATAGCAAATGTACAACAAACCCCACTAAAGCTGAATCAGTGACAAGCCTTCTTGGCATCTACTTGATTCCTCCTAACTCTAACCCGTCATCTAAAATGTACACCCTCCAAAATCATAATTTGCCACTTTCCACATAAAACAGATCTCTGAAAAGGAAAAGCCAACTTCACAGCATCCGCCAGGGTTTTATGGTAAATATTAACATTTATGAAGCCAAAATCAACCAATGAAGCATTATACCGAGGACTTCATCTTTCCTCTCCAATAAAACCATACCCGAAACCTTATTACAATCCACAATTTGATAAAACAGCCAAAGGTTTGTAGAAAAAAAAAATAAGCATTCTAAATCGAAACCAAAATAGAAATTTTTAACAGAAAAGAGGAATAGCAAGAATCAGAAAGTAAAAAAGCAAGCTGTTATTCCTTTACATGTTTGACAGGGATATCAAGATTCTTCAGCTTCCATCTGCGGGTGACAAGCAGTTTCTGTAAATCACCAATCTCGGCTTCAAGTTTTTGAACATGGGCTTCTACCCCTTTCCCCACTCCGTTCAGAAACTCTGGTATTCCTACCTTCACTGCAAGAAAATGCCAAAATCCCATCTTCGCAATCAGTCTTTAAACCCATATACCTAATGAAAACCCACGGGAAAATCGAAAAGAAAAACTAACCCACATGCATAGATATGCATGAAGCTGTGACCTTTTACCTATGTAAGGGTAGGATTTTGAGGAAAAATGAGCCAACCCAGAAATGTAATAGGAAGCTGATGAGATTGATCCTTTGTTTGAGGATAAGAATTGCCTGAATGCCATATTCAGGATTTTCTTATTGACTTGAGCTTCTGATCAGCTTTTGTTTTCTTGAATAAATTGCTGCTTCGGGTTGGGGGTTTTGGCAGCATAAACCCTTGCATTTCAGTCACGGAGATTGTCCGTCTTTTTAGTCTCGATCTAGACGACGTCGTTGGCCGGCCGGTTTTGAGGAATAGTAGTCGATTTTTTATTTTTTTTTAACCCGCCCACTAGAGCTTGTAGCTGAATCGAGCCGAATAAGTTCTGTTCGTATGTTATACGAACAGGTTCAAATTTGGGTCAAATATTAATGAATAATAAGGGTTGCTTGAATTCAATTCATTTATTTGTACAAATATTCGAGTTCGAGTTTGAATTTGGCTCGTTAAACTCAACGAACTGAATCTTAGCTTGAACTCGAGGTCAAATTTGAGTTTAGAGATGATTTAATTATATTTTTAATTGTGTTTTGTGGTTTAAAAATAATTAAATAATACTAATTTATGTGTAATTACTTTTTTTAGTAACATATATGATAATATTAAATGTATTTATGTTTTTATTTAATTATTTATTTTAATAATTATATATGTATTCACAAACTATTTGAATAGTTCGCAAGCAAATTCGTGTGCGGCTCGATTATTAAAAGACCCTAATATTGTGCTTGAACTCGATTGGTTTATTGAATTATCAAACTTTTTTTCAAACTTAAACAAGTCGAACACGAACATGCTCGCGAATAATTCGATTCGTTAAAAATTCTACCTCTCACCCCTCCCCACGCTCTTCCCAACCCCATCTATCAGATACAGAATTCGAATGCTGAACTTGATACTAGAGAAGACTCTAAGCACCCTATCCTGAATTAGTAGTCGATATATTTTCTTTTTTCCTAACTGTTAATAGTTGATTTATTTTGGGGAATTGTTACAAAAAAACATTATTGTATCTAGTAATTTTATGACCTATTGTTATGTTTTCGAAATATGCAGTCCTACTAAATTAGTAGCTTTGTTTACTCAAAAAAATAACTCCTGCTTGTAGTGGCCTTTTTTAATGCCATTACATGAGAATTTTCTTGTAGTTTTATTCAGTTGTCTCTACTAAAAAAGTTACTCCAATCTTGGAAATTTCTCAAAATCTTCATTTTAAAATTATACTGTTACACATGATTCAGTTTGATTTTTTTTCCTCCCCTTAAGCGGAAGAAATGTTAAATGGTGCTTTACTTGACAGTTGACACAATCGGAATTTACATACTTTATCTATGGAATAGGATACAGTTTGACGTATGCTCATTGATAAAATGCATGGATTTCAGTTCTATCCAATGTTTTGAAAACCAGATTGGACCAGCGGGTTCGACTAGTCGAACCGTGAATCTGTTAAGTCTTCCGTTCGATTCATTACCGGTGTTGACTTTTCGTAAAAATCGGTCAAAATCGCAAAAAATCGATCGGACCGTTCAACCTAAGTTGAACTGTGAACCGCGATTTTTTCATTTTTCCCATTTTTTAAAAAAATTTTGAACCTAAAGTTTTAAACATAATAACACTTATTAGTAGAATATTTTGTTCCCAACCCTAATTTCGAAAAGAGTAACCAAACTCTCTATATTTCTTACCCTCAAACTCAAATATCGTTGTTTTCTTGTGTAGTTCTATTAGATTTTGTTTAATTTCAAAAGTTCCAATGCATTTTATTTAATTTTAGAATATGGTTGTGGTTTGTGTGGGATTTAAGATTTTTACCAAGTAGGTACAATTGAGATGAATTTATTTGTTTGAATTTACAATTTTAAAATTTTATTTGTGTTTAAAAATATTTAATTTTTTATCAAGTGAGATCTTAAATTAGTCTATGGGATAACAGTCTAGAACAATTGAAACAATTATTATGTGCACAAGTGTATGTGTGTTTATGTGTGTGTGTGTATATATGTATATATAATATCATTGAACCAGGGTTGAATCGGTCTGATCGGTTAAACCTTGATCCAGTCACTTCATCGATTCAATTAACGGTTCGAGTTTCAAAACATTGGTTCTATCCTTTATTTGGCTTTTAATCTGCAGTTCCTTATGTTCCCATGGAGTCTTGCACCATTACAAGAAATGTAGGGTTCTTCCAAGCCAAATACTTGGAAGAGTGATGTGGTATTTAGAACCATAGTTGTTAGGATCGCAATCTGGAATCAAGGCTAACGATTCAAATCGTAAGTAGGATCGAAAATTAGGTTTAAATTAACAAGATCAATAGGATCATGATCCGGATCGTAAGATCGTACGATCCTGATACGATCCTACTATTTTCAATAAATTAAGTAACAATTTTAGTATTTTAACCATATCTTTGTGTAGGAAACTCGAAATTGAGTGTCGTTTGTTGCGTTGTAAACTATATTCAGAGTGCTTTAAATCCATGTAAATAATTAACCCTAATTCCAAATCTAGAAAATTTGATGAATCTTTAAATTTGACTCATATAATTCACTAAAATGAATAGATGATCTTTGTTATAGGTTATCACATGGAGCTAGTGTTTTGTGTCTTTATTATAAAAATTAATATGGTTTAGAGTCTTTAGAAATGAATTAATACTTTTGCTAATTCTAAGTGGATAAGTGGTGGGTTATAAATTTGAACCCAAAATACACGTTTTTTTAGCACAAAATTCTATTCTCAAAATTTTCTTTAATTATTTGTTTATTGTATACCAATTTTTCTATCAATTAAAATACATTTGAAACATTTTATTATATATGTAATATTTAATTATCCTATTATATAAAAAATGATGTAATAATCAATCACTAAATCATAGTTAACTAAATGTATTGTGTTTAACTATTTTATTTGAATTTGGATTTACAACAAGAAAGAACAAGTTGTTTAGTTTAATCAAAATACGTTTTGAAAGTAGTCCCAAATTTCTCTATATTTTTCAAATTGTCCCAAATACTTTATATAGCACAATTTTAACCTTAATTAACAATATAAATATATTGATTGCACATGAATTACATTATTTGTTACTATATTTATGAATTGCAAACTTAAAAATTAGAAATATGACAATTTATTATAATTTTTTGTAGCATCTACTGATTCTACGATCCGATCCTGCAAACCAAAAAATGATCCTGGATAGGATCCCAATTTTGAAAACCTTGTTTAGAACTACCAAAAGCACGTCTTCAAAGTGTTGACATGTGATGAAATTTCATGTATTGGGAATAATTTGTAGTGAGAATAAATAGTTTGAAACCACAGCTGAAGGAGGCGACTCCTTTGCCTATGGGTGCAAGATGCATCTCAGCAGTTAAATCCAATTAATTATTTGGACTCCCTCGTCGATTAGTCAAAAAATAGTCCAAAATGGATATTTCACGCTAGATTTGACTTGGTATAGGACAGAGAATGCCCACAGGTTGAAGACGCAACTCGAATCTCAACACTCAAGTCTCAATTCCTGCGGGCAGTTTCTACACTCAAGAGTCCAACATCCGTGCCCACAAGTTCAAGACGTAACTCGAGTCTCAGCAGCTAAATTCAACTATGTGGATTCTATCCTCGTTAATTCAAAATAGATATTTTCAGTTAGATTTAAGTACTCAGACTCTGCTTATATATTAATTCATTGTACTTAACTTTACCAATGTGAGACGGGTATCACATTATCATAAATTCATAATGCTGCAAGTGAATGATACGCCACACGACCATGGTATGCAGCACTAGCTTTGTTCCGTGGAGCTCGGTACTGAAAACAGAAGGTATTAGGAAAGGAATTTCGAGGACTTCTGGTTCCAAAGGAACCTCAAAAAGACTGCCTCTTCAAGGTGAATGGGAATCTTGCAAAAAATTATAGATAGTTGCATCAAAATGAACTAGCTAAATGTTCACCTAACTCTTTGGATGTCTTCAACTGACAAAAATGAATGACCCCTAATGAAATATCTTCTGCAACTTTCAGGCAAGTCAATAGCTGCAAGCCCAATTGGCAAATGATCAAAGCTTATGATCAAAGCTGCCTCTCCTCAGTGACTGAAAGGGATTTTTCCAAAAATTTTGTCAGAAAATTTAATGCTGTTCTCGGGACATCTTGGCTGTCAATTGCTGTGAGCTTTTAACCGAGATAAATCCTTTCAGCCTTCATTGCACATCACATCAATCACTAGCAAGGATCGTTAGTGATCATATATAGATTCAACAACCCCCCTCTTCTGTTACATTAGCATAGCATCATTCTAATTTCCACGTATTCCACCTGGTAAAAGGTCCCTGTAAACATTTGTCACCTGCTCTTTAAAGTCTCAGTAATTGAATGTTTGTTAAGACCACCAGGCTGTTTGAGCTGGTTTCTGCATTTTTAAGGCTAGTTATCTCTCAGATTAAAGTGATTTTTGTAGAAGAAGACGGCCAAATCTATACAGCAAACAATTAAATGAGTCACAAGGACTCCAATCAACAAAACTTTCTCTCAAAAAAAAGAACGTGACGATACATCATAGCAAACTCTTATCTAGTTAACTATTTAGCTGAAGAATATACCACTTACCATCACCAAATATACAATTTCTTATCTAGTATACAATTTAGCTGAAGAGTATCCAATGGTGTAAAACTGAATTCTAAAGACCATAGGAGCCAGACGCTGAGTGTTAGTGCAGGGTTGGCTTAGATAACCCCCTCATTTCCTGCCAAGATCATATACTTGTCTTTCCTTGTTAAACTGGTGCATTCATATCCCAAGGCTTTACCTATTTCACACTGTACATAATTAGCAACTTCATACCGCGATTTACCACCACTACCACAAGTATAAGATGCTGGCAGCCTCTCAAGAAACTTGATCATGCAGGTTGGAAATGGGTTCATGAGGAAAAACAATGGATCTAAGCATTTCAGCCCACTTGCAGTTGTTCCATAAAACATGCTTACTTGCATGTCTAATGCTACAGGAACTATGTCATCAGTAAGTTCAGCAAATAACGGACTAAATCTTAGCAAATATGGCTCCCTGCAAGTTGTCCCTTCAGCGCATACTACAACATCACCCTGGCAAAGCATCTCATTCATCCTCCTCAAATCGTTTTTTCGATCCCTCATCAAACGTACAGTCCTGATTGGTGAGAGCATCTCTGATATTCTGCTTAGACTA